GTTTACCCTGTGCGTTGTAGGGAACGAGTCAAACTCGGATCCAAAGGTCACACTCAAACTCGTGATAGAGTGTTTCAAGGGGACTTAGTGTTAGAGTGTGGCGACAGGGAAGCCCCCTTACCTCAACGATTAACAAACGGGTTACGTGAATGAATCACTCAGATGTGGATGTGGCGCATTCAGCCATTTTGTCTCCGTGTTAATATTTGTGGCAACAGCTGTTAGCGCTCAAACAGCTTGCTTGTGCTTATGCTTGGAAGAGGGTGGGAGCTGAGTTGATAGTCAATAAGTCGTGGATGAGATCTGTACATCTTGTAGAATTCGTATTTTTTGTCTTTGGGAAGATTTGGCCTCGGCTAATTAGTCGTTGACCAGAAATTTCCCTTCTTTTAAGGGAATGTGGTAGCTTCTGTGCCCGCATGCCAAAAGAACTGAGTCGAAATGAAGAATCTTTAATGCATCCAGCCAATGCCATTGCAGAGAAGCGCGGCGGTGTCGAACAGTGAGGATTTTCTGATTGACCTTCTCAATCACATCTTAAGGTTAAACTTTTGGTCTCAACGGGCAAAGTCGATCTTCTTGCAACAGCTGGAAACGGTGGATGGAGTCCTCTACACACAGCTGTTGATCTTGGTGATGCCAAACTTACACAGGCTCTACTGCCGGTTCACACTACCGCTATGTCAGCGCATCGCATCCTCGCCTCACTGAAACAACCCACCGCCTCCTCCTATGCTGTCACGGCCCTGCACATGGCAGTCCGTCGAAATAGTGCCTCATGTGCAATAGTGCTTCTGCATACGGCAAATGCTCTGCTAAATGGTCATTCAAGGGACTGGACATCCTCAGAAGAGGAGGAGTCAATTTCTGTGGATGATGTTGGACAGAAACGCCACTTCCATGGACAGACAGGCAAAGGCTCTCGAAAGTTAAATAAACTGAAGGATAGGAATGGCGATACACCGTTGCATTGGGCAGTGAAGACAAACAAGTGGGTTATTTGAGTGTTGGGGATGCTTAAACCGGCTTTTAGTAGGACGTCCTACTAGACATTGGCGCTTCTCTTAGGTGTTAATAAAGTGTATGGTTTGCTACTTAAAAGGGTAGGGTCACATGTAAGGCTCTTTTATCGACGTATGGGGATGAGTAAGAGCTGAGGATGGGTTCGACTTCTGCATTCGAGGGTTGTAGCCACTCCACTGTGCAAGCCATCACAAGATCTCCGTGACCACTGTATTTTATCTTCTTTTTCTTTTAGGTAGGTTTACATCGAGCTTATTTACCGTCTAGTGATTCTTTGTATGAGGTGTTCATATTATGATAGGATCCAGATTTCTTTGTATTCCAGCTGCGCTCCGTCACCCACTCCTGTTCTTGATTCGATTATGAAATCGGACATTTCAGTTATGCGATGGCTCGCCTCCTCTGCTCCTACGGGGCTCGTCCACGTCACTCGCACAATTGTCAAGGCCAAACACCATTTGCTTTGGCCAAGTACGTTCTACGCAACACCAAAATGACCGAGCTGCTGGTCAGTTTCTCACCAGCATCCAATAAACCCATTAATACCGTCGACAATGTTGCGACGAAAAGCCGGGAAAATGAAGCGCCTCTGCCCTTAGAAGTACCCTCACCAGACACGTTAACCCTTCGAAGAGTTGCAAGGGCATCCGAGGTAGACGGCAGCTGCCAAAAACTTCAACGAACGTTGGTCGGTGCGGAAATATCAACACTGACAACAGGAGCAGTAGAAACAGCAGTAATGCCTGCAAAAAAATCGTCCTATGCAGAGGCATCAAACGCTG